GGGCGGGAGCCCGAGCCGCCGCGCCCCTCCTGCCAGGGGCTGGATCTTCTTCCCCGCCTGTGGTACAGGCTCTGCCGCAGTATCTGCGCCGGTGCTCGCCCTGCATCGCCTGTCGCCCGGACCACGCACCTACTGCAGCGAGGCCTTTCCCAGCCGCACTCTTGAGCGCGCCTTTGCACTCTACAATCTGCTTGCCCTCTACCTATTGCCGCTGCTCGCTACCTGCGCCTGCTACGGGGCCATGCTGCGCCACCTGGGCCGGGCCGCCGTGCGACCAGCGCCCACCGATGGCACCCTGCAGGTGCGCGATGGAGCTGGGTGGCGGCGGTGCCCGAGGCCCGAGGCGAGCTGGGGGAACTTGAACCCAGGAGGTCGGGTGGGGGATCTCTGAGGGGTTAGCCCAGTCCTTTCCTCTAACCAGCTCCCCGCCCTCAGGGGCAGCTGCTGGCTGAGCGGGCGGGAGCTGTGCGCGCCAAGGTCTCCAGGCTCGTGGCTGCGGTGGTTCTGCTCTTCGCTGCTTGCTGGGGTCCCATCCAGTTATTTCTGGTGCTGCAGGCGCTGGGCCCCACGGGCGCCTGGCACCCTCGCAGCTATGCCGCCTACGCGCTCAAGATCTGGGCACACTGCATGTCCTACAGCAACTCGGCGCTGAACCCGGTGCTCTACGCGTTCCTGGGTTCCCACTTCCGACAGGCCTTCCGACGCGTGTGCCCTTGTGCACCTCAACGCCAACGCGGGCCCCGTGGGCCTGTACCCTCGGATCTCCAGGTCCCCAACATGGAGCTGCACTGCTTGGCTGCACGCCCGGCCCCCACCAGGACGCCAAAACCCAGGAGCAGTGGGGCAGCAGGGAGGGGCTGTGCATACTAGGGGAGCACACTGCTCCTCTCTGAGCCACTTCATTCACTCCCTGGGATCCGCGTGGCCCCTCTGGAGCAGGGCGTGCTTCAGCAGCAGCGAATATTCTATTATTAATATTTTTATCATCATCCCAGATAATCAGTGAAAATGTTGTTACCTTCCCATAGGACTGCCTGTGATACTCCAACTGTGGCTTGTTATTCCTGCAACTGAGGATGTGCTAACAGTGGTAGTTTCTCCATCTTTCCAGAAAGGGTCAGGTGTTTTCACACACTATCATGTGGCTGACTGTGACATGTAAGAGCCATTCAACTTTAGTGATGTTAAAATGTGAAAACAGTGTGCATCTTGGAAACATGTGAAATAGGCTCAGCGGAAGACTCTGGGCCAGACCTGGAAGCTCGGGGGTGCTTGGTCTTCTGGCAGACCAGGGGTAAGTACTCCTCATCTGGCTGCTTGGGCCTCCTCCCTGCATGGCAGGCTTCTTTGGCAGAAACTTCTGGAAGGAAACCAGGATTGTCAATTCAGGAGCCCCACAACTCCCACTCAAAAAGGCAGGGAGAGCCCTGGTTCCTTGTGGGAGCTGCAGAGCTTAGTCACCCTGCAGAACAAGCACCCTCAGGGCTCCAGGCCTCCCAAAATAATTCATTTTGGGTCAGGTGCACCCCCTAGGCTTAATCAGTGCTGATGCCACTCTGGGTCTGATCCTCTTGGGCTGAACCCACTGGGGTTCCTGTGTGACCTGCTTCCCACTGTGTCTCCAAGACCCAGTACACAGTAGGCCTGAACACCAAGTGTGTTGTGGTATGTGCACAGGGAGCTGCAGGAACTTCCTGTGAGAATAAACACAGGTGCACACACCAGCAGGGAGCTCAGGTACCCATCACAGAGAAACAAGACCCAAGTCCACACAGAAGTGGGTCCTCCAATCCTCATAGTTTTATTTGTGAGAGCCCCAAACTGGAAACAGTCGGATGCCCTCCAATGAGTGGCCTGTATGCAAACAGTGCCTTGTTCACACAGAGGCCACAGGGCAAGGAAAGTGCTGACATGGGCACCACAGGCTGGATCTCCATGAACAGAACGCTGAGTGAAGAAAGCATACTCCAAGCACACAAGATGCAGGATTCCATGATCTAATACTCTTGAAAGGACAGAACAATGGGAAATGGCCATCAGGGGTCAGGGATGATTGCGGGGGGGGGGGGGGGGGGGGGTGGGGTGAAGAACCCTGAACTTGACAGGGGATAAATGGGTGATAAATCTTTACAGAGTCACACATACACCCTTGTAAAATGGAAAATCTGAATAAGACAGTGGATTATATTGATGTCAATGTCATAATGTGATACTGGATTATAGTTTTGCCAGATGTTACTAGGAAGGCTTGGTAAGCTTACACTAGATCTCGCTGCATGATGTCTTAGGAATGCATGTGAATTTATAATTCTCTCAAAATAAAAAAGTTTTAAAAAGCCATGGTGGTGATACATACTGTCATCCCAGTAACCAGGAAGAGAAGGGATGGGGATCACAAATTCCAGCAAATTAGGAAGACTCTGTCTCAAAATGAAGAGCTGGTGATGTACCTTAGTGATAGAGCACTGGCCTAGCATGTTCAAGGACCTGGGTTCCATTGCCAGTACTACAAAAATAAAGCAAAAGAAAAGTAGAGGAGAAATGGTTTGTGGGCCTCAGTTTCCCCAAGTCCAACCTGGGAATCCCATTTTCTAAGGTAAGACGGCGCCACCTAGCGGCCCCCGGCAGGGCTCCACCCTCTCGTACGAAGCCTCGCCCAGTAGATATTAGCCACGCCCAGAAGGCAGCAGCGCCGCCGGCGCCCAGGTAGTGGCGCGCGTGTCTCACGAATCCATCTCGCTCTTTTCACCCCACAAATGATTGCTGGACGCCCAGGGGTCGCTCATTCGCACCCAACCCGGACCCCCAGCAGGAAATGTACCCGCTGTGAAAGGGGACAAACACAGTCACATCATGCATTTCTCATGTCCTAGGCACTCGTTTTGAGGGTCCCGTCCGTGAAAAGATGTTGAAAACATTTCGGGCTGGATTCATTATTAATGCAGCCTACATTATTATGTTCTGGGGTATTTCCTTTTTGACTTTTTAACTGTGCTGGGCATTGAACCCAGAGCCATGGGCAGCAAGTATTCTCCCAATGAGCCACATCCCTAAGGCCTGCTTATTAAATAAAAGTAAATAGTGGGCTGGGTTTGTAGTGCAGGGGCAGAGCACTTGCCTAGCAGGTGCGAGGCACTGGGTTCCATTCTCAGCACCACATATAAACGAATAAAACAAATATCTATTGATGATTCAAAGATATTTTTTATAAAAGTAAATAAATAAGCATACGTTTCGTGGACCCCGGCTTCTCTGCCTAATGTCAATAAATTCAGTATTCAAATATGTATGGATGGCAATGGAGGGTCGCGCTTTGAGGTGAGGGCCAACAGTCTCCTTCAGATTTTAAAAATGATTATTTTGGAGTCCCCTGTGCAGACACACACTGAAAGCCCTGGGGGAAAGCAAGCCAGAGAGGTAACATTTAACCAACTTCATCTGACATCTTAGTCCTCAGGACTTGAGGGCCCCCCCTGGAAGCCAGATACAGGGGTTAAATAAATAGCTATTTCAAAATAGAAAAGGCTTCAATGAAGATCTGAGGCATGGTGGGGGTGTGAAGAGAGGCCAGAGAGGGAACCTGAGGAGGACACCAATATGAACCCAGGACACAGGCCAAGGGGCCCTCTGGGGAAGGGCAGGCCAGGCCAGGCCAGGCAGGGGCCAGGGCACAGGCACAGAGGTGCACACATGCTTGAGAAGGAATACATGTGGGGAGGTGGGCACTTTTGGTTTAACTTGGAGAAGCTTGAGAACCAGGCCTGGGTGAATTTGTAAGATCCACCCCTAAATAGAGAGTGAGAATAGGATGAGTGACCAGGATTGGGTGGGTATCAGGCTAAAGCTTTGGGGGGTGTCCCCAGACTCATAGGGGCTCCAGGAAATGGTCTGTCCAAACCTCGTAGGGCTGGGGTACCCACTTCATGGCTGGCATTGACCTAAATTCACACTCTCCCTTGGCTGCCAGGTCCCCCTCCCCCATCACCGGGCATCCCAGGATACACGGGAGCCAGCAAGTCTGGGTGTAAATTCCCAGCTCCCTCCCGGGCTAAAAATAGGAGCCCCCTCCCAGCAGGCAGCTGTGGCTGCTGCAGCCCCTCGCCCTCCCGGCCCCTAGCCTGGGGATGCTGCACCCAGCTGGGGGAAGCAGCTTCCCCTCCTGACCTTCGGGTAACCAACCCCCCATGCTGCCTCCTCCTTTGGAGCCACCCTCAAGTCGACAGCAGCGGGCTGAGTTAACCGGGGTTCCTACAGGGGGAGAAACTGCGACGCGGGGGCGGCTCGCACCCTTCCCGGGAGGGTTTCCCGCTGCCCTCTCCGGCACAGCGCTCGCCCTACCCGGGCCGGGCCGGGGCGCAGTTCGGTGGGGCCCGGTCGGCAGGGCGAGCGCCTGGCCACGGGCCCCGCCCGAGCCGGGAGGGGAAGGGCGCCGATCCCCAGGTGCGGGTCCCGGCCAGCTGCCGGCTGGGCTCCGAGGCCTGCGGCGGGGCGCACGGGATCGCTGCTCGCAGCTCCAGGACCTCGCGTCCCGCCTCCGGGCCAGGTGGCCCGCGGGCGGGCGCCCTCCGTGCGACCCCGCAGGTCTCGACTCTGGTCCGGGTCACCGCAGCCCGGTCCTTCCCGGGTCTCAAACCCCGTTTCGCACGCAGACTTGGAAACCAACGCTCGGGGGTGAGGTTACGGTCGCCGACGGCTCAGCCTAAGGGGCGAAGGTGCAACTCCGGGGCGGGTAGGTCCATGCCCATTGCCAGGTAATATGGGGAAAGCTCGCGGACTCGGGTGGTTTGGGGTCCCCCAGCTACAGCACACCCGGGGCTGGAGCCGAGCCCAACCCCTTCCCTCCACCTCAGTCGCTCTCAGAGCCCCGCCTCGCACTGAGAGCCCTCTGCGCTCGGGGCCGCGACGCGCACTTTGCCCACTGTCCCTAGGCAGGGGGCGGGGCGTCCCGTGGCTCTGTTCCCCTTCCCTTTTATTATTTATTATCATTTAAAGGGGCCGAGACCAGAAAATTTCAGTCCACTCTCTCCCCCTCCCCAACCCCCCCCCAGGCTAGTTGTGAGTTGAAGGACTGAGCGCGGAGGGCCGGGGGGCGTCCGGGGAAGGGGGAGAGGGCCTCGAGAGACCCCTCCCGCGTCCCGGGCCGGCGCTGAATCACCGGCGAGGTATTTGCATCTGAGAGCGATTTGTCACCCGGTGATTTGTCTGCGGGGCGGTGAGAGCCGGGTGGGGGAGGGGCGGGGCGGGGGGCCGGCCGCGCGCCGGGAGCCTCGTACCAATCCGGGCGGATGGGGGTGTAGACACGGACGCTGCTGGAGAGTCGGTGAGTAGGCGCGCGGCACTAGCCCCGCGGGCGGCCGGGAGCCAGCAGTGCGCACCGGCGCCCGGGAGGCCGGGGAGGCCAGGGAGGCCAGGCGGGGCCGGGCGGGGCCAGGCAGGCCGGACGCCGGGCCGCGGGCATGCGCCCCCCAAACTGCCCCGCGCGGTAAGGCCTTTTGCAGCGCGGGTTCCGGCCTCCGGCTGCGCGTAGTGCGCGGTGGAAGCTTAGGAGGGGTTCCCAAAGTTAGGTAGAGGTGCGGTGAGGGTCTAGGACTGGGCAGGGGACCCTTGTTGGTCTCGGTTTGGGCGTTTGCCCCTGCGTCGGACTAGGAGACCTCACTCCGTATAAAGTGGGTGAAATTCATGCTCTTGTCCAAACCGGGGTGTGCGGGGCAATTGAGGGTCGTGAGTGCGCGCTCCCCTGGACCTGGCGGAAGGAAATGGGCTCCGCGCGCGCGCGCGCGCGCACAGGGGGCTGCGCTCTGGGGTTTTATTTCATTTTTCTTACTCGAAACCGGTGTGTATTCACGAATCCCGAGAGTTCCCGGCGACCCTGTCCAGCCTAGTACGTTTACTTATAGTGTCCACTCCAATGCAGATAGGGGCCCTGTGCCCCGGAGTGCTCTCGGTCCGGGTCCCTGGGTCTCTGGCAGGGGTCCTAGGGAAGAGCCCTCTCCCGAGTTACAGCGCACCCCAGACACAAAAGCGGGCGCAGGAAGCGCGGGGCGCGCGCGCGTGTGTCAACTCCAACGTTCGCGCCGGCCGGCGGCGGGTTTGTCAAATATCTTCCGTTTTTAGCCGCTCGGGCCGCAAGAGCGCCCCCCCCCCCCCCCCCCCCCCCCATGCAAATCGGTCGCTTTCCAAGAAGCCTTTGAAATCCGGACGAGGTTTTTGTAGTCGTCTTTGGTTTTTCTTTTTTCACTTCCTCCGGCCCCCCTCCCCACTTTCTCAGCCCCCTCCCCAACTCTCTGCCCTCCCCTCCCCCTTCTCTTCCTTCTGCAGACTGAGGGGCCCCTTTCGCCACCCGCGGGCCCCAGCCTTGCACAACTCTTTAAATAACCGTGTTTTGCAAGGCCCCGCGGAGCTGGTGACCTCTCTCCCGACGCATGGGGGGAGGGTGTGGTCCCTGGTTGATCCCCGCCCCCACCCCACCAGATCCCTGCGACCACCCTGCACCCCATCCCCGTCTAGGAATGTCTGTCCCTGGGCCTGTCATAAAGTGGGGGTGGGGGCCGAGGACAAAGGACTCCTGGGGGAGGGGTCTGCAGGGGTGGGCGTTATCCGGGTAGGGTTAATGGAGCGCATCAGGGGACCCAGGCCTGGCTCAGGGGCACTCCGGGGTTCCCACCTGCCCCCTCCTCAAGCCACAGCCTGGAGGCCCGTCCTGATCCCCTCCCCCACCCATGGAGGACCCGGAAGGGTCATTAAACCCAGGAGGCCTGCAGAGGGGGGGTGATGGGGAGGAGTGGCTTCCTCTGGCCTCTTCCTTCTGCCCCCCCCCCCAGAGGGGCGTTGCCTGGAGCATTTCCGTGGGGAGGGGCTCATCTTGAAGTTGTGGAGGGTGGGGGAAGGGTTAGGGACCAGACCAGTCAGTGCCAGAAATGTCCCCTCAGCACTTCTTGGGTCAGGTGGGGATGGCCAGCAGCCCTGGGGGTAGGGGGGGGGGTGCTGCATTTGCTGCCTCTGGAGGACCAGGCTCTGATAGTCACTCTCCAGTGCCATGGCCTCTGAGAAGGTCCTTGTGACCTGGACCCCTGCCCTCAAGGGACTGACAGGGATATCTTGGCCCTTTGGAGATGTGGCCATTCCCTTTTCCATGGACCCTTCCCCCTTGGCCTTTTTACCCCTCTCCCAGGATCCCAGGGGTCTGAGTAAAGGATGCCCGAGGAGGGGTGCTGGACTCCTGGTGACTGAGGAGTTCCCTGGGTGGTAGCAGCTCAACAGATGTACCAGCTGCTGGGACCCCTGTTGGCCTGGGGGCTGCCCGGGCCTCACCCCTGGGCCCACCTGCCCCTGAGCTGGGTGTAGAGCTGTACCTTCTGTACCCCATCCTGAAAGGAGGTTGGAGCTCTGTCCCCGCCCTGTCCCAGTGATGCGCCATCAGGGCCTGTTGGGTTCTGCCTGGTGTTTTATTGGAGGCTTGGGCGGGTGGGGTGTGGCCTGGTGGGTGAGGGCCCAAGGTGGGACCTGGGTCCTGGTGCTCACCACTGCCAGGTCCTGGGACATCCCTGCAGGAGCCCTCACAATTAAGAGTTGGTGGAGGGGCAACGGGACCCCTGGGAGGGGAGCTGGGCAGGTGTGTGGCATTCTGGGACATTTGCCCCACTTGGGGCCTCCAGGGACTGGGAACTTCAGACCCCTTACCCCTGCAGAGAGCATGGCACCAGGGAAGGCTCTGATGTCACCTGGACACAGGTCCAGATCCTGTGCTTGGTGTCCTGCGGCACAGCGTTGCTGAGCCTCTGCTGCCCTCATTTGTCACACAGAACTCCTGGCTCCTCCTCTGGCACCTGGGTGGCCCCACTTCTGCCCACGTGAGGGTAGCGAGTGAGCTGGGCACTGTTGCCACAGTGTTCTCAGGTGGAGGGGCTGGGGTGCTGAAGGGGAGGCCGTGGGAGCAGGCGTGGGAGGCTTGGCTGGGCTGCTGGACGGCAGCACTCCATCTGGGCCAGCTGTTGTCTCTGTTAATCTGAGAACCGGGATGCTGGGGCCCCTCTGGACGTGGGCAGCACCTGGAACTCAGAACCAGAACCCAGAACCTGCCTGGACTCTGGGGTCTGAAGCTGGTTATAGCCAATCAGAGGCCAGGAAGGCCTAGTCCCCTCTGCTCTGCTTATGAAGCAATAACCCGGGTCTCCAGGTGCACACAGTGGGGACAGTGTGTTTCTTGTGGCCGGGACAGGAGGGGCCCCTGAGACCCCTGGAGTCCGGTGTGGGTGAATGGGGCCCGAGGAGCTCAGACACAGTCTCACCCCCTGTCTCCATCACCCCCAGGTTTCTGAACACCCGTGAATGAGCCGCTCGCCAGCCTTGGCACCTGGGACCCCCCAACCCACCACTGGCATGCCCCACCAGCCTTCAGCCTGAGCCGGCGGCCCCCGCCCCCGCCCCCCGCCACCCTGCACTGTCCCGGCTCCCCCGAGGCCCCCACGCTGCAGTGTGGCCGGGCCCCCTCCCCACCGGGGCCACCCCCGCCACCCACCCCTGGTGCCCGGCGTGGTGGCGGCCTGGCCCGCAGGGCCATGAAGCTGCAGGCGGTGATGGAGACCCTGTTGCAGCGGCAGCAGCGGGCCCGCCAGGAGCTGGAGGCCCGGCAGCAGCCGCTGCCCGAGCCCCCCACTGGACCCCGGGCTCGGGCCCCCCTCGATGAGGACAGAGAACCTGAGAATGCCCATATGCAGCGGGCACAGATGGCCGCACTGGCTGCCATGCGGGCTGCTGCAGCAGGCCTGGGACATCCACCCAGCCCTGGGGGCTCTGAGGACGGGCCCCCAGGCTCAGAGGATGAGGACTCGGCCCAGGAGGGGGCTCCGGGCTCACCAGCCCTGCCTGGGCAAGGCGGGGAAGGCTCCAGACACACTGAAGATGCCACACACTTGGAGGACTTAGGCTCCGATGAAGACCTGTGAGTGGTGTCCCGCGGCGGGTGTCATCCCTGAGCCTCACTCCCTGCAGGGAGGGCACCCTGGGGTTCCGTCACTGAGGGGGGCGGTTGTTGAGCACATGCCTGTGCTGGGGGGGGGCAGGCTTGAAGGAGCGACCACTGTCCTCCTGGGCAGCAGACCCTGGCGGTGTGCACCCTCAGTGTGGGGGTCGCTGTCACACCTGGAGCTGGACACTGGACGCGTGTCCAGTGTGACTGAGGGCCTGGGTGTGGCTGGAGCATCTCAGCCATGGGGCAGATAAAATCTGCAGCCAGGCTGGCCTGTGTGGAACACACTGCCCGGGCCTCCACAGGGCCCACTCCTGGCAGGGAGGTGTCTCTGAGAGCCTGTTGGTCTCAGGGAGCCCACAGTGTTCTGGGGTCCTTACAATGGGCAGAGGAGATGGTGCCAGGCCATGCCAGGGATGCGGGAAGGCAGGCGGGTGCCAGGGCCAGCCTTGGGCAGGAGGACTTGGGCTCCCCAGGCAGGGGGAGCGCCAGGGTCAGGCAGGCCCAGCAGAAGGAGCAGCCTTTGCCAAGGCCCCGGGCAGGGCCGCTCAGGTTCTCCTGGAGTTGGGAACTTCGTGGGCATCCCGGGCGCCCGCAGACTGCAGGCCCTATGGGCAGGGGCCTTCCCTCCCATTTTCAGGGGGGAGACAAGGTTGGGCGGAGGGAAGGAGCCACGTCCTGCTCTCTGACCTGTGCCCTGTGCCCCCCAGGAAGCCGAAGTGGGAGGAGGAGGAAGAGCTGGAGGAAGACCTGGCTGACGAGGACGAGGACGAGGACGACTATGAGGATGAGGGGGAGGAGGAGGAGGAGGGGCTGGGCCCCCCAGGTCCCCTGGGCCCGGGCTCTGCCGGTCTGTTCCCACGCAAGGCGCAGCCAGCCCAGGCCTTCCGTGGGGAGGGTGCTCCCAGGGCACTAGGCGGCCCTGAGCGGCAGGGGCCTGGCCCAGCCCACCCTGGAGGGGCCGCCCACCTAGGGCCCCAGCCGCAGCCGCCAGACCCCGGGGACTGGACCTACGAGGAGCAGTTCAAGCAGGTGGGCTCTGCGGCTAAGTGCGGGTGTGGGGGGTGCCACGGGCCTTCGGGTTGGCTGTGACACCATGGTCAGGCCCCCTGGGCTCTGAGGATCCGGTGGGTGCCACCACCCAGATTTCTCTGCGTGGCCAGGTGGTTGGGCCAGTGCAGTGGACGTGGGCACCAGATGTGGGGAGCTGTCTGGGAGCTCTGCAAACTCCACTTTTCCCGACAGACACGCCCCTGGGGGCCCAGCATGGGCAGGGTGGGCAGCTGGTCGAGGCTGGCAGCCTCTGTTGTCAGGGGGCATTGGGGTGTAGCCGTGGGGCTGGGTGACCCGGACGGTGGGTGTGTGGTGGGGAGTCCATCTCTCGAGAGCTGGCTGGGGGGTTGCCCTGGCTGTGGTGGCGGGAGACTGATAGCCTGCCCAAGAGGTGGCTGAGGGTCCCTATTGGCTGCCCTGGGTGCCTGCCAAGGCAGCAGGAGCCAACACGTGCCATGACCGTGGTGGACAGTCAGGCCTGGGGCTGAGCGGACAGGGGCTCTTATGGATGCCAGAGAAGCTTCCTGGGCCCTGCGAGGGGTGGAGGAAGCAGGGGCGGCCCTGGCCCTTCCTGCAGGCCAGGCGACTGGGCCAGAGGAAGTGGCCTGCAGGGGTCCTTTGAAGTTGGGCCACACTGGGCTGGGCAGATGGAAACCAGATGGCGGCCCGGCTGCCGGCTGGGCTTGCATTCCGGCCCTTGGCCAGCTGGGCCTTGCCCTGACCTCCGGGTGCGTCCAGTGGAACCCAAACCCTGGGCTCCAAGTAGGGGCCACCACAGGAGGTGACCTCAGCCTCCCAGCACCAGGCTGCCTGCCCTGGAGGCCTCAGGAGGCACGAGGGGCCTGGGGGGCCGGCTCCTGGCCATGCCCACTGTGAGCATGGCAGGAGAGCCCCCAGGGGCAGGTTCAGTGGTCAGGAAGCTGCGTGGTGGCTGGGTGAGGGACAGAGCTCCAAGGCGCCTGGGGTTGGCAGCACGGGAAGGTACTGACCTGCCCCCGCCTTCCCACTGGGTGGGGTGTCCTTGCCCCCAGGCTCTTGGTCCTGGTAGAAGTCACTCTTCTTGGGTGTGACCAGGCCCCACCCTGCCTGGTACCTGCTCAGGGGGCCCTCAGGGTTTCGGGGTATCCCAGAGACACTGTGCCCTGGGACCAGGAGTTCAGCTGGCCCCTGAGGTGCCCCTCCCTGAGCAGTGCCTCCCCAGGGCAGGGGTCCTCTGCTGAGAACTGAGGGAGGCTCTCCGGTGCTCTGGGCCTGGCCCCTGGGGAGCCTAGGCCAGTGTGCCCTGGTCAGGCACCTCCACCCCTCAAGGTCACGCTGCGGGACGGCCCTTTGGACCCCTGCACGCCACCCAGATGGCCCCAGGCTCCGTGCCGAAGGGGGCGTTCCCTGATCCCAGAGCCCTCGGTGAGCTGGGAGCGGAGGCTGACCACCAGGGCCGGGGTCTAGCTTGTCTGCGGGACAAGCCAGTCTGGGTCAAAGGTGCCTCCCGCAGCAGAAAGCTGCTAAGGGGACCCCGAGACCTGACGGGGAGGCCCCTCAGCATCTCAGGCCCACGGGCTTCTTGGACGCCTGCTACACGGCAGGTACCCGGGGACCGTCCTCAGGGACAGTGTTCAGGGTGGAGGTGCTCGTGACAAGTCTGTGGGTACCCAGGTGGCAGGGGGTGTGGGACTGCTCCTGGCACCGTTGGCCCCTCAGGAGGTGACGCTTGGCCTGAGCCGGGGGACACGAGGAGCTGGGCGTGCACACGAGAGGTCCCAGGCAGAGGCCGAGCGTGGCGTGTGAGGGGTGAGGTGCCCACCTGGCTGGCTCCTGTGGGAGATGGAACTGGAGGGTGTTGGGCACACCGGGCCGGCCCTGCAGTCCTGGGGCCTCAGCCTCCGCCCGTCTGTGGCAGGCCCAGGGGCTGGTACGGCCTCCTGCCCGGCCGCTGGGCACCTGCACAGCTCGTGTCCACAGCAGCCCGGGCCCCGCCGGCCCAACAGATGTCGGGCCCCGCCGGCCGTGTTGACTCTGGCGTCCGCCCCACTCCCTTCCTGGCACGTGGCAGCCCTGGCCGGCTGGCCGCCGCTTGGCACCGGTCTGCGGCTTCCTCTGGGTCTTGGCAGGGCCTGGGGCAGACTCTGCCTGCAGATCCTCGACAGCTGCTGGTCTGCCCGGGCCTGTGGTCTGGGGGGCGGCCAGGCGGGGGGGGGGCGGTTCCTTGAAAACGGGGAGCCTGGCTGCCACAGCCCGGTGACGTGCCCTGAGGGAGGCTGGCTGGCCCGAGCTGCCGCGGATTGGGCTGCGTCACAGACTGAGATGAGGATCCCAGCCCCTTGGCATCGGACGCATGTTGGGTGGCCTCCGGTCACCCAGGTGGCCACTTTGCACGGGCAGACCTTGGTTCCAGATCTTTAGCCACTTCAAGGTTTGAACCGTGAGTCCCAGCAACTCCGGCGGAGGCTGAATCGATTCCAAAAACAGGGAGACTGACGCAGCTTTGTTGGGATTTGATTTCCACAGAGACACAACTCACTCCTCCGTGTGCAGCTCCATCGCCCCAAAATGGGCCTTGTACCCTTAGCTGCTGTCCCCAATGTCACCATCCGGCCCCAGCCCTGCACCGTGGGTCCACGTCCATCTCTGGACCCTCCTGTCACTGGGTCCCACAGGGGCCTTGTGTGTCTGGTGCTCACCGAGCGTGAGGTCCTCAGGTCCGTCCACGTTCCACTGTTCCCTTGCTCCTGCCCTGGCCAAGGATGCTCCGGGTGGACGGGCTGTGGCCTTCGCCCAGTGCCCTCAAGCTGACCTGCCCTGGCTTGGTGATGGACGCCTGTGTCCGTTTCTCTTGGGTGTGTGCCGGCGTCAAGTTGCTGGGTGTGGGGGCAGTTCTGTCTACGGTGGGGAGGGCAGTGAGGGGAGGCCGCCTCCCCAGCCCCAAGTGAGGCTCCGGGCCTCACCTGCACCGCCGTCAGCGTTTTTGATTTCCAGAGAGGGTTCTAGCTGCCCTGGCGGGGTCGCGTGGCATCTGGCCGTGTTTTTTTTGTTTGTTTGTTAATTCTTCTTTTTCTCAAGGCCTTTGTTTTATCAATCTTTACGAGGTGCTGAGGATCGAACCCAGGGCCTCGCACGTGTTAGGCGAGCTCTACCGCTGAGCCCCGCCCCGTGCTCCCTGTGGCTTTGATCTGTGTGGTACGTCGGGTTCTTCCCCGTTTGCCGTCCACACAGACTCACCTGACGAGAGGCCATGAGGCAGGCAGAGGTCAGCGTCACCCTCACGTTCAGACCTCAGGACCCGGCACCAGACACCCCCTGGAGCTGAAAGCTGGACGGGCCAGGTGGGCCCAGCCCTGAGAGTCTGGGGCCTTGGCTGTGGCACCCTGGTGTCCCGTGACCTGTCCTCTGTTGCCCTCACGGGTCTTGGCTCAGCCACAGGCTGCGGCAGCTAGGAGTGAAGGCTGTGCCTGTGACCACAGCAAGAGGTAGCCCCGAGGGTCCCGCCCGGCAGCCGGCTGTCTAGAGGTTGTGCACGTGAGGCAGAGCGCACGCTCATCAGTGCTGGGCACTGAGCGCATCCCAACCCCCTTTATTTCGTTTTGTGATCCTCCTGCCTCAGCCTCCGGACTCGCTCAGATGACAGGGGAGGCAGTGTCCTACTTCGTTGGTACGTGTGTGAGGTCGACTTTTGGTCCCAGGAGAACACCCAATCGCATTTTCTTTTGTTTGTCTTTTTGATGGTGCTGGGGATCGAGCCAGGGTCTGTGCGCGCCAGGCGAGCACTCGACCAGCTGAGCCGCATCCCCAGCCCCCAACAGCAGTCTTCAAGGGGAAAATGGAGCTTTCCCGTGGAGGCTTGAGGCTCTGACCTCCTGGGCCTCTGCTGCCCTCTCGCCTGGACTCCAGCCTGTGTCTGAGGCGGGCCCTGGGGCAGCAGCCTCTGGCCATGCTGAGCCTGGTTCTGCTCCTTAGGTCCCAGGCTGCTGGCTGTGGTGGATTTCCTCCTGTGGGGCTGGGCCAGCACAGGGGCCTGCTGCCCTGCCGATCGCCGTCCTACGGGACTGCGGGAGCCTCTCTCCGTGCTCAGCAGAGTTACAGGGCTGGGTGGGGCAGAGCTGGGAGGCAGGTGGACAGGTGACCTGGGGCTTGGAGGAGCCAGAGCTGGACACAGCCTGGGGCCAGGGCTGGGGTGGAGGATAGGGTGTTGGAGTGCCCAGCTGGACAAAGCAGGGCAGGGCCTGATTCTGGGGCCACTGGCTGGACGAGAGGTGGGTAAGGCCCTAGGAAAACGGGAAAATTGGGAAAGAGTGGGACGGGGCTCCTGGGCGGGGTCCGCCCTAGGGAGGGAGGCGCGTGGAGCCTCCTTGGAGTCCGTGGTCAGCAGCGGCAGGGAAGGCGGGCTGAGGCAGAGGCCTGGGCGCTGGGCACCGGGGGCTAGGCAGGAACTGGTGAGAACCGGGCGCAGCTTCCCGCAGGCTGGGCCAGCCCGGGAGACCGGCAGGGCAGGTGTCAGGGAGCCCCTCGGCGGGCAGCGTCTGCCTCATCAAAGCTGCTGTGGCTGCTGGCACAGGGCCAGCTGGGCTGTGGCGGGCACAGGGAGGATGCCCGCCCACCAGCCCCTGGCACAGTGCCCTGGCCCGTGCCAGCCCTGGGAACCACACTGACTCAGCCGGAAGCACCTTATCTGCCCCTGAGCCACCACCCGGCCACTGGGTCACCGCCGCAGGGTCACTGCCGAGGCCTGGCTCCCTGTTCTGTGGCTGCTGCCAAGCGCCTGGCCCCACCCACCCCACGCTTTCTAATAACACACGCGGGCACCGAGGGAGCGGTGCCCAGCGGGCAGTGGATGTGGTGGGCAGCCGGAGCCTCCCCAGGCCTTCCCACCCCACCCCAAACGTGCTGGCTCTGCGGGTCTCGGGCACATGTCTCTGCGTGTGCCAGGTCCTTAGCGTGCGCCTGTCTCCCTGGGTCATGGCGGTGCCCACTCAGAGGGTGTAGAC